GAATCGAAAAATCTTTTTTTATTATCCTGACTGGTCTTGCAAGTAATCTCTAATCACCGCTATCTTTGTACACGTAATTTAGACGTATCATAGATTCATCCTAATCAGCACTTTAAATCACTTACTATTTGTAGTGGCACCAGTAGCATTTGGCCATAAAATTGTCAAGCTCAAAGTATTACCTAAGAACTGTATCGATGAGTTCACATAGCAAGTGTTCCCCAGATTCTGTAAACCACGGAATGTAAACGACAATCGAATCGAAGTCTGTGCAGCACCTCTAAATCAAATGAAATCCGTACAGTTATTCCAAGCGCGACAGAGTAGTATGTGTCCATACTTCTATCATCTGTTCCAACAGTTGCAGAGATGCGGTCCCTTGAGTCATTAAAATCATTCAGAAATACATTAGTATCGATTGTTCGTAAAATACTCGAAGAGCTATCTAATGGAGAAATTAGTATCTTACTGTTAATCGCTTCTTGTTTGGTAAGAATATAATAAATTTTCGAACCTTTTGTTTGCAGAGCAACTAACCCTGTTCTATCTTCTACTTGCGAATATACTTTCCTAATTGCTAATTCCTTTGAATCATTATCAACCGTGTCTACATGAAGAAAACGTTTTGAAAAAACATCAGTATTAACCTTTTATATTTCTTCGTCGGTCATCCACATCGCCTTTTCGCTAGCACGATTAAAAGTCTCTTTTTATGCATGAGAACAATCATAAAAAGCAAAAGCAGAATCTTTATGTCTATTTAAAACAAAAATGCCATTCACTTGGAGATTTACTAACGAAACGATACAGTTTCGTCAGCAGCAAATGATAGATCTGCTTTTCGTGTCGGCAGGTCAAAGTCTATCATGTATAGACTACGGCATAAAATCTAATTTTTACTGCTTTTTACAAAATTCATTCTTCTCTTGGGTTTCTATAATTCTTTTAAAAAAAAATTGCAAATATTTATAAGGAAAGATTATGGCAATGCCCCGGAGAAAATCGATAGTTGATCTATTACGACGATCAGCAATAACGTTTTAAATTTTGACTTCCCTGTCCTCGTCTTCTTTGCGCTTCTTTGGAGCTGGTTCTCCGCGCATCGATCTTTCAATTTCCATTCCACTACATTTTGTTCTTTTTGAATTTGTTTAATTATTGTGAAAATACCAACATGAGATCGAGTAAGTAACATTTCCCAGCGTCTATGCCAAGCTTTGACTTTGTTTTGAGTTCTTGGAAATGCAAATTTCATGGACTGGACTGGACTGGACTCAAAAATTCAAAAATTTGAGTCCATATGGAGTTCTGCCTCATACTATTAGGTATTTAACTAACCTGCTGCTCTTCTTTAGAGCGCTTGGTGGCATCCGAAGACGTTAAAGGAATATCGTCGGCGATCCGATGCAGCGCGAGGTGAGTATAAAACTGTTTTTTCTATAAAAACAAACATGGTTTTTTCTGTTCTTACAGAAAGACAAATCGCACTCAACGGTCTCTCCACATCAAACCCTACTACTGACTACTCAATAGCCTGATTGTTTTATTACTTCATTTTCTCTTTTCATTTTTTCTACTGACTGCTTTTCTAGTTCGACATAAATAAACTTCCAATTATGATTAAAAGCATAAAACATATAACACATAAGGAACTCATGACACATCAATCAAACATAGAGCGAGGACAGTAAAAAGAAAAAAGATATAGAAAAATAGGAACATTTTTAGTAGCAGAGCCCCTGGTGTCATAGGAATGATGATTGCGATTAGAACACAACTCACGAGGAATGATCCCCAACTGATAAATCGCTTTTTCAACGAAACCGACTGGACTATAGGTAGTCGACGATGCTGATTCCGAATACCACCATGAATGCTGCCGCTAGGCCTTCAAAGACCG